AGAGATACCATTTGGAAAGCAGCTAGCACGTGGAACTCACAGCAATTGAAGCCCTGTGAGAGCACTCATCCCTGAAGGAATGGAGCCGTTGATCTGTGAGTTGTAGAAGCTTCTGATGGGGGGAGACATGCCATAAAAACAAGTGGTGTAGATGGGTACGGAGGGGCACGATCATGGATTGGAAGAGGCATGGGCCATGGGTCACACTCAAGTGATGGCACATGGGTAAAGGTGCTACCCACGAGGCATGATGCTCAACGAAAAAGGTCAAAAGAGAAGAGACCACCAGAGGTGACAATATGGGATTCCATGCATGCGACAAGGCTTGCATGTCGAGGATAGATGACGAGAGAGCATGGGTTGAAAAGGGCTCACAGGTGAGAGAGCATGGGTTGAAAACGTCTCACAGGTGAGAGAGCATGGGTTGAAAAGGGCTCACAGGCGAGAGAGCATGGGTTGGAAAGGGCTCACAGGTGAGAGAGCATGGGTTGAGAAGGGCTCACAGTCGAGGGAGCATTGGTTGAGAAGGGCTGACAGGCGAGAGAGCATGGGTTGAAAAGGGCTTACAGGTGAGAGAGCATGGGTTGAAAAGGTCTCACAGGTGAGAGAGCATGGGTTGAAAAGGGCTCACAGGCGAGAGAGCATGGGTTGGAAAGGGCTCACAGGTGAGAGAGCATGGGTTGAGAAGGGCTCACAGTCGAGGGAGCATTGGTTGAGAAGGGCTGACAGGCGAGAGAGCATGGGTTGAAAAGGGCTTACAGGCGAGAGAGCATGGCTTACAGCTCTACGAGGTTGGTGAGAGCAGAGATGGTGCTGGGGATGGTGTTGCCCGTGCGGTTGTTGCTTCTCAAGTTGCTGGTTGGGTGTGAGGGGGTGAGGGGTTGATCAGAGGAAGTGGGAGGGTTGGGAAGGGCATAAACTTGCATGGGGTGTGCATGGCAGGGGGTGTGCACGGCGGGGGTGTGCATGGCAGGGGGTGTGCACGGCGGGGGTGCGCATGGCAGGGGGTGTCCATGGCAGGTGATGGCAGCCATGCTGAGTGCGGATTGTGTATGATGCTGGTTGCCTTTGTTTGTTGGGGAGAAGGTGTCGTCACAAATCTTACAAGCACTGTGGCACATGAAGCGCAGTGTACCACCAAGAGCCGCTTTCCAAAGGATGCAGATTTAGCAATCCACTGTGTGTACTAATGCTTACAAGATTCGAAGATTGGTTAGCTTCCCAATGCTGTCTGTCAGCGGCCCAATTGCGTTACCCTCCAGTGTCTTGCACAGGGTGTGGTTGGGACTGGGTGGTGTTTGATTGGCACAAACTCATGTGTGGTTGGCACAGAGTGCTGTTTGGTTGGCACAAACTAATGGGTGACTGGCACAAGGTTTTGTTGCTCAACAAGTGCTTTTCATACAGCCAAGGGAGCTTTAGAAAGGCCCCTCTGTTGGCAAATTAGAAGCACACTGCTTACATCTCAGTGAGATTGTTGAGTATCATGGATAACGATTTACGGATGGACCCAGAAATTTGAACAAAACGAGGTGTGTGATTGGGGCGAGGGGTGCGTGTCAAGAAGAGATGCTCACAGCTCAGTGAGATTGTTGAGTTTGGATAAGGAGTCCGGGATGGAGCCAGTGAGCTTGTAGTCCACTCCATCCCCGTATAAGATCCTGAATCAAAGGACAAGTAGAAACAGAGACAATGAGACTCCTGAGGGGAGGGAGCTGGGGAAACCGAGACAGAGATAGGGAGAGGTAGAGAGAGGGAGAGAGAGAAAAATAGAGGGAGACAGAGGGAGAGAGAGGGAGAGAGAGGGAGAGAGAGGGAGAGAGAACTAATGCTACCACTGAGCTGTATTCACCCTTGGGATAAGTAACTTTGAGCGTGAGAGGATGAGAGTATCACACACACACACACATACACACACACACATACACACACACACACACATACACACACACACACACACACACACACACACACACACACACACACACACACACACACACACACACACACACACACACACACACACACACACACACACACACACACACACACACACACACACACACACACACACACACACACACACACACACACACACACACACACACACACACACACACACACACACACACACACACACACACACACACACACACACACACACATATACACACACACACACACACACACACACACACACACACACACACACACACACACACACACACACACACACACACACACACACACACACACACACACACACACACACACACACACACACACATCCAAACGCGCATGAGAGTATCTGACATGTACTGCTGGCATGAGAGTGCCTTACAGGTACTGTAGGCTTGACATGTTGCCAAAGGACTCGGGAATGCTGCCGTTCTCCACTTTACCAGTCCTCCTGTGGGGGTGGCGTGACAGGTGGGGAATGGCAGGGGGCGAGTGGCATGGAAGAACAGAGAGTAACAAAGAGCAGGGAAGATAAAAGGACAGCGAGGATGAAGAGGGAAAGGCAGCGGGACATGAAGTAGAGGAGAGCATAAAAGAACAGCATTGCTAAAGGAGCAACAATGATGAAAGAGCGACTAGCATTAACACAGGTGAACATGGATGAGCACCAATCATGACGGAGCGGCAGGCAGGAAGCAACAGTGACCGTGAAAGCGAAGAAAAGGGAGAGAATTATACACGGATGAGAGACAAAATTCGAAGAGAAACATATAGGGAAACAGAAACATACAGCCCTTGAAGGTTCGAGAGACTGCCCAAGCCAGAAGGGAGACTGCCTCCAACATCCACACCACCAAGTCCTCTGCCACCACAACAGATGAGTGTTTGAGACCTCGGTTTCTCACAAATACGTGATGAAGTTCCGAGATAAAGTAGAAGCGGATGAAACGAAGAGGATGAAAAACGAAGAGTATGAAACAAGGTTGCCACTTTACTCTCATCTCCTCTCCCTCTTAAGCAATCTCAACGTCGTCCTTACAGACTGGAGAGCCAAGAGAGGCCACTGATGGCGTTCGGAATGGTGGAAACCCCGAGATTTGGGGCCCTGTATCAGGGTATTTGGGAAGGGAGTGATATGGGTTGAGGAGGGGAGAAAGGGGAAAATAGGGAAATGGAGAGAAGGGTGAAGAGTACACCTCTCTTTCAGACGACTCCAAACTCTGCTCTCCGATATGTCTCTGATGCAATCAGGGATAATTCCCAGTCGAAAGCAGGATTGAGAGACGGAGCCACGTGCTAGCGAGTCATTGCTCTGTCGTGAAAGAAGGGGAGTAGAAGGTTTTGCAACACGAAACATTATTTTTCTCAAAGTATGTTGTGCAGTTTTAAGGTACTGCTTACTCTATGGAGACTATGTATCCCTCGGCATCGCACGACAGATACGTGCTTGAGGTGCAGTCCTGGTCGAGAATGAAGACGTTGCCCCATGCCGTTTCCAATGCCTCCAGCGGAGGGACCGTCCCTGAAAAGGCAAGTGCCAAAAAAAACTTAAAAGTGGCGCTTTCATAACTTTGCAGTTGCATTCTCCGCGCAAGAAAAAAGTTTGACTCAGCAACAGTGGTAGCGTCAGTAACTACAACCGTCACCTTCCCGTCACTTTCTGGCAACAACGTGTGCAGATTCCCGCATCCGCCACGCAAGTGTACAGGCAACTTCACAACTGGAATACAGTAACCACACACGTTACTCGGATGGTCACCATAACGTTGCACCGCAACCACCCACCTCACATACCTCCCAGTAACCAAAACATGCGGCGACGTACACGTGCCCACGTGTACCTGAATTTCAACCATACCTGCCACGTAAGCGTACACACCCACTACATGCCGAACCTACCACAGCCGCACGATTACGCACCACCACACCAACTATGCACCGTTCACGTGTAAACAGCTCCGCGAGTCGCCAATACTGTTACAATACCTCCAGCCAAACGAGTACCATAGATTAGGGTAGTGCATACCACATCCAGCCCGTCCATTCTCCATGCATTGTATGCCTTGCACCACTACCCCCCTGCCACGTGCAACTCACAACGTCCATTGATACAGAACTACCACGCGCCATCTCACCACCTGCTTGTCCCACGTGTCCTCAACACCCGCCATCGTACTATGTGTTACCCCTTCTCGCAGCTACCTCGCATGCGTAGCCCAACCACTTGCACGCGACCATGTTCTACACCCTACGTAGCATCAACAACTCATAGGCTGCCACGTATCAGCCACTGTTTAGGGAGATCGCACCGGCGATCGCAAATGCGTGCGGCAGCAATTCGCACAGCCCCTACGCGTCGCATCACCACCTTCAGACCTCACAGGGTTGGTGCACGACACCCGCGACCACCAGCATGGCAGATGGGCCACGTTGAGGTTTCGCACTGCTCGTAACATGGTCGCCTGCACCACACTTCCAGTGTCGCACAACACGCATCACCAAACACCAGCCGTCCACGGAGGACGGGAACGATCCACCCCTCCACCGCCACGCGTCACTTTCACACCTTCCACAAATGCCACCATGCCAAGCACACAAACACCGTGCCGACAAATGGGGCCTCGTCAACTGTTCGAACCAACCACGGCAATCCACGTGTTGCTGTCAAAGTAGGCGGATCCCAAACCATTGCCCCTCTCGTGAGCACTCCGTCAAACGCGGCGACATTTGCGGTGCACATGACGCGCGCCCCGGAAAATTTGGTTCACTTGGTCCTAGCCAACCAGCATTGCCCGCCGATGTCTGTCTGGATGGATATTGACCCCGTCATGTCTATTACACTCACTCAAAACATGCATACAAGAACAATTTCCAAAACCCTCTACCGCGCAACAAACACCGTAAACTGCAAAAGCAATCTAGTCACCTACAACCCCCAAACCAGCCGCACGTATCTCAATAGCGCGCGCAAAAGCAACATCACCTCCCACCACGGCAAGGTCTATGCCCACCAACAGCCCGTCCTCCCCCTCCCCGCCACTCTACACACCCCCGACAGACACCGACTGCACATCGTTCCCGGCGGCGTCTCCTCCGCTAGCGCCTGCATTGGGCTTCATGCTCTCAAGCCCACATGCAGAAAGGCGGAGGCCATGGCGTCCCCATATCCACTCCTCTTTCTCCTCGTCGTACTCTGGATTGAAGTGACGGATGGCCTGTGAAACGGAGCCCTTCACAAGCACCTTGAGCCCGTTCACCACGTGGCCGTTCCCCCCCGCCGAGTTAGAGAGACGGCCCATCCTCTGCTCCCAGTACATGATGCTGTCGGACACCTGACAGGAGATTCACACCGCGCACACATTGTAAGCCTACAGCCCAGGCGAGGAGTAACCACCAAATTTAAACATTGTCACTCACCACGTGCTCTAGCCACGCAAGGTGGTACACCTTCAAAGTGAGCGGCAGTGCAGCCTTCTTCGGAATGAAGGCAGCCTTTGCGCACGCCGCAAACGCCGCAGAAGCAAAGGGCATCCCGTCGCGGTCGTTAGCCCAGTTGCTCAACACCAGATCATCTGCACACCGCCGACAGCTCGGACGAGTAAAAAGACTACACCCAAGCACGCAACCGTCACCAATGTGTAGAAGCGCCTGAACACCGCTTACCGCTCTCATCCGCTCTGAGACCAATGCGCTCGCGAATCTGCTCCAGCGTCCGTGCGTTGTCCCTTGCCCACGGGCTTGCCTCGTCGCGCTCGTCCCGGAAGAATCCAAGCTTCGGGAGCGCAATGTCCCGGACCCGTGCTGCAGCCCTTGTCTTCCACTCGCTGAGTGTCTTGTTAAGGTCCGCCCGTCGGGACTTGTCCGCTGCCAGCGCGAGACACGCGAAGCTATGCGGCAGGCGGTCAAGCACTGCGCAGACGCCATAAGTCTTGTCGTCAGAGCTCGGATAGAAAGTCATGGTTGCGGCCGGCTTCTTCAGGAACAGCTGCACGCGGACCAACTCGCATAGTCGCTGCACACAAGTCAGGAACCACCGCAAACACTGAATGAGAACAGTGCTCCACCAAAGGGCATCCCCCTGCAGACTGCGCCCACCCATACAGTAATGTTTCCCGTCTGCTAGCACAACCCACCTTCCAAGCGCTGTCTGCTGGCAGCAGATCAAGTGCGCGTTGCAGAACAGGCGACTTCGCAGACCGCATATGTTTGCGCCGCGTGCGAATCTGTGCCACGTCCTCGAAGTCGTCGTCGTCGTCCACCTCATCGTCATCGTCCTCCACCTCAGCCACAGGCTCGCCACGACGCTGGCGCTTTGGGTTCATGCATCCCTGTCCCGGCTCCCTCTGCCGCTCTGCTTTGCGGCGACGAGATCCCCCATCGGACTTCGCCAGTGCCTCCAAAAGCAAGGTTTCCAAGCGGGCAACCTTCTTCGCGCTCTCGTCTTGCGACTTAAGCAGGCTCCTGAATACTCCCGCAGAAACGCGCACCTCCTCTCCATTGGTTGGGACATCAGCTCCTCTCCATTGGTTGGGACATCAGCGTTCTCGCGGTTCCTATTGGTTTCGAACATCGCGCGCATCGCATCCCCCACATCCTCGTCATCCTCCTCTTCGAAAGCGTTGACGTCGCTCTCGATGCGTGCCTGGTCGCCCCCGTCAACGTCCTCGCCTCGATTCCGGAGAGCCAGACGCGGATCAACGTCGCTCTTGGAACGCGAATCCGGTGAGTCACTCTCCGCCGCTTGCTTGCCTACTCTGCCGGGAGAAGCGTCAGATGTCTCCCCCCCCGTAGTCTCTGAAGTGGTGGGAATGTAGACGGACGAGAATGTAAGTTCGAGGGTTTAAAAGCTCCATTGCGGAATGAAGGGGAATGCCAACGGATTCAAAAGCATACGAGACTGTAAACGCCTCAGTTCAATGGAACAAATCGCGCAACATGCGCAACAAACCCGTGATTACCATCACCAGCAGATTTTCCGCCACCTCCCGCAATGGTAAACGTCAAACGCTTAGGCAAAGCAGTTCCCCGAGTCCCCCTTGCCATGCGCCCACGAGGAGTTGCAAGCTGATATGCCGCGCGCAGGTACGCCGGAGGCTGGGACACTCGCCGTGCACGCCCCAAGTTGCCAGTATCTTCGGAAGCAAGGGAAGTCTCCATTGTGCCCAGTTGACAGTGTTTGAGTGCACCGTACGCATTCCTTAGTGCTCGGATTGATATAGCAAAGTATACGGTACCCAGTGAAAATTGCTCAACAACGGAAACACCCTTTGTGAAAACCGTTCCCTCCAATCAAATTAAAGGCAATCTCTGACAACCACTCGGAAACAACCTCCACGATTTCTGTCATCTTTGTAAGCGAATACGCATCGGCCACCGATCCCCGTCATCTGTTGTCTGAAAACCCGTCCTCTCGCTATCAGTTCCGCTTACTCCGTATTCGGTACACTTGCTATCATGCAAATTCGTAACACCTCCACATTCAACTCCAGATATCATTTACTAGCAAAATAGTACAGACACGATAGATTTCACATACTTTCCACACACATGCAAACATCAGTCGGGTACGGATGCCTTTTTCTATCCCACGGTACACTCTCATTTCCCACTGATATCCCAAGCACCATCCTACTGCCTCCCACGACCAGCTTCATCTGTCTTGTCATCCATGGACTTTGCATCGGCACTGCGGAGCCTCCCAAGCGCCCTGCTGTTGGTTGGTTCGATGGCAACGATCTCAGTGTCCTCACTTCCAGCCTTCTCTCCTTCACCCTCTCCTGCCGTGCCACCACCCTGCGCACCACTCTCCTTTCGCGGTCTCCCCCTTTTAGCAGGCGTTGCATTCTTCTTGGCCCGCGCTGCCTTCCGCATCACACCTTCGTACGCCTCCCTCCATACCCTCCAGCGCCACCACATGCGGGCATCCACCAGGACTTTTAGGACTTCAGGAGTGCACCCCTTCAAAGCTGCCCTATCCGCCGGTGTTAAAGCCACAGAGTTCCTGGTGCCCATGCCTGGCCTCAGCACGTGGGCTGCTGCCGCGTAGCAATACGCTGCCTCCTCTATCGTGGTGTAAGCGCCGACTCTCTTCGTTACCTTCTTTCCGTCCTTGTCCTTGGCGACAACCTTCACCCCAAACTTGCCTGTATCGTTCTCCACATACACCCCGGTGTACTTGGTCGGCTTTGTTCCTGGCTCGGTCTCCCCCTCTCCGTCCTCGTCAGAATCCTCTCCTCCGGCCAAGGGCTCCTGCTTAGGCACAGCTGTGAAGCCGGGGTGTGCGCCCGCACCGCTCTGCGCGATGCCGTAAACAGGATAGGATGGCTGGACTAGTGAAACCGCAGCTCCCTGCTGGCGCGACAACAGCCAGTGTGGAACCGTCCCGGGGATCGGCAGATGTGCCGGGAAGCAGGGGTACGCTCCAACGGCTGACGCGAACTTGCTGTCGAGCGACACTCTCGTGTTGGAGCCCACCAGATCCTCGTCAGGGCTGTCGTTCAGCTGCTTCGTGTATCCTGAAGGCCGTACAGGAGTGGTTGGGCCGTGCTTGCGCGGATCATTACCTCCCGCTCCCTGCACAGCGCAGGCAGGCTTCTGCAGCATGTTTTCGCCGGCAGAGATCAGCTCCTCCCTCGACATCCCAAGCACCTGCCCAATTGCGGCGAATCCTGCAGTCATCGCACCGACCTCGCGCTTCAAGGAGCACACCTCCGCCTCGAGTCGGTCCACACGTCTTTGCTCTGTGTGTTGTCCGTCCTCTGCACCCTCCTTCAAAGTCGTGTTGGTGGTGGTGCCGCTTTCCTGAGAAGGAACATCCACGCCATCTTCCTCTAGCCTCCGGAGCAACTCCCCCATAGCGTGTGCGCATATATCAGCGCGCATGTTGCGGCGGTACTGCAGCGCGCTGACCCCTTTGAACCACAGGCCACTCTTCAAGTTGGCGAAGTCGGAGTAGACCAAAACTTCCAAGTAGTGGCAGATGAAGACTCCGCAGTCAAAACCATTCTCTTGCTTAGGGATGTGGTTCGCCTGCACACAAAGAATCCGCACACCGGGTAGCCTCAACTGCCTAACACCAAAAACACCAGAACAGCCGCCCTTACCGTGAGGACATGACAGGGAACGTCCTTCAGCAGCAGTTCAAAATTCGACATGTCCACATGTGGGTGCGTCTGCTTGGCGAGAGTTGTCAGCAACCTGCATCACGTCTCATATGAGGAACCCGGTTACATCCACGCCGGTGTTAACAACCACCATATTACGGCTTATGCTACAAACACTTACAGCTTCACGCCACTGAAAACCTTCTGTGTACTCATGGGGGCCTTGGAGCTGTCGAACAACACCATTTCCAGCGGAGGGCTATCCTTCCTTGCCATCTTATCCACCAGACGGTGGGGTGATACGACTATCACCAATGAGTAGTGCTCTCTGCAGGGAGGCAAGCGGCAGTAAACGGCAGTGTTTAGTACGGCCGATGAAGAATGCATGCAACTCACGGGTGTTGCTGAACTACTCAAACAGCTCGATGATTACCCCCTGTAGACAGGCACCGCCAGGTAGTCGTGCTCAAGGAGAGGCAGGCCGTTTCCAGCATTGACGGGAGTATTGTGCTCAGTGGTGTTCGCGAAGTTGTTGCAATCGACAGCCGCCCATGTCTTCCCGTTTGACAGTTTCGGCACTCGGATGCTTAGTAGCCTGGAAACACACGCCGGACATATTGGAAAGTCGGCATAAAGAGAGGGCATCGGATCCTCCTGCTGCGATTTATCAAGTTAAAAAAAAAGAAAACAACGTGCACGAAGCCGGGCGAAACCGTTACTGACACGTTGTGAAAGTCTATCGCCCCGTCAGTCACCCATGTGTTGTCCGCGATGGAGGCGAGATCCTTCTTGTCGACTGTGCTGACCACGTCGCGATGGTTCTTGAGCTCCACGTTACGATATTCGACTTTGTGATAATTCTTCTCCAACGCCGCCACCAAATCGTCGGGCTGAGGGAGTTCAGCAGGCGTGCTGGCTGCACCGTCAGCGACTTCCATGGTCTTTCCCTTGTCATCCTCCACCGCCCGTCGTTGCCTTTTTTTGTTAGAGCCGGCGGCCTTTCCCTTACGCGACCTTGTCGCACGTACTTCTCTGATCTCGGACTCGGAGCAGCCGCTCGATTCTTGGCTGCCGGTGTGCGCGTTTTTCGGAGGCATGGTTGGCGCGGGATGAGGGGAAGGATGCGATTTCAGAATCAGGTGTACTAGGGCCTGGCCACGGTTCCCACGGTAAACTAAAACCGTTAGGGTTCTCCTGCGATCGAATTTGGGAAAGCGCAATAGCCCGAAGCAAGAAGGCAGCAAAAGTGGTCACATCCCCCGATGGATGACAGATCTCCAGTTAGGGTTACTCGAGGTTCATCGCATCATGCACAGGTCACCGGGATGATGACAGCTGGGCACCGCAGAATGGTCTGGAATAGTTGGATGAGTGCATGTCATTGCTCCGTAGCCAGCACGACATCGAGAGGCTCCTAATAACGGGGGTGCGTGTATGACTTGTTTTATATCAGGCATTTTCAATTCGAAAGGCAGTGTAGCGTCGATAAAGTAGTGGTCCAGTTGGTAGGGCCTACTCCCATTTCTTTCAACTTATGATTATATAAAGTGATACGACAATGCACAAACGCGTACATCTGGCTCGAGACATAAGGTACGAAATTGGCACTTCCTCGCACGAATTGCTAGTACACCGCTGTGGGCAAGGTGTAGACACGGGGCCACCTGGCCAGTGTAGCAGTGATCAAACAGTGCCGGATGGGAAAGCCCCTGTTTACGGGATGCGTACGTGGGAGCACGTGCACGTATACGCGGCATGTATAGTCTCGTTGAAGATTTGTAATATAATTGCGCATATAATGGGCTGACAGTTTCTGCTTTTGTTTCGTGCCCAAATTTACGTAGGTAAATATTATCAATAGTAAACGGATAGAGTTGCACACTATTTGTTTGCTTCAACGACGTAGTCTTATACACATATCGTCTATCTTCACATGGCTATTTATGAACAACCAAGTGTATTCTTACGTACATGTAGTGTGTACGAAGCACTGACGCCTCATATGTTGCCGCGCACGGCCGTGGACGATATGAAAACCGACTACCTCAACCATTGCTAGTGGTCGGATTAGGGTTTGTAGCAAGTCCGAGATGACGGGAAACAAGTGCGGAGTGTGCGGTAAGGAATTTCCTAGCGACCGTGACTTGCAGTCTCATCTCTCAGACAGAACGAAATGCGGGGACTCGTTGAAGAGAAATCTCGAGCAGCTTATGTTTGATGCTTACCTGGATGCGCTAAACAGTGTTGGGCAAAAACGCCAGCGCAGCCCTGCTACGTCCAGTGCCAAAACCAACCCTATACCTACGAACTTGCCGCCAGAGGGCTCACCGCCGCAGGCGACGGAGGCAGATCATGAGGCGGACGATGGCCACTCGAAAAGTTCTACTTCTTCGGAGGCCAGCGACGTCTCCGACTTCTTCGACACGCTCACGGAGCTGTACCTGTTTTTCCGTGACGCGGACTTATCACGCCGTGAAGTCAACAGACTGCTTAACATATTCCGTAACCCTCAGTTCAGTTTGAAGGAATTACGCAAGTGGCGCAGCTACGCCGACGTGAAGCGATGGGGGAAAGAGCGTGCGCCGCCAGATATGGTTCCATGGAAAACAGAGCATATCGTCGTGCACGGGCCCAGAGGAATGTCCCAAAAGCTTCTCTTGCACTTCCGCGACACAGAGCTGGTGAGCTTGTCGTCATCTGCGTACCGCCCTTATTCGGCTTAGGTGTTGTGACAGATGGCGTGTAACGTGCCTATCTATATTTGTATTGTCGCGCATGCTTGCTATGGCCATGCTCTGATGTGCAGCTTGTGAAGAAGCTAGTCCGCATTTTTTCGCGGAGGAAGGGTTTCGTGTGGAAGCCACAGGAGAAGTACAACGAGAAGGGGAAGCGCGTTTTCGAGGGGCCAGAAACAGGCACGTGGATGCACGAGGCGCAGGTGCGTTGCCTGGCTGAAACAGTGCATGTCCGATGCAAGGGCCTTGTTCCGTAATAACCACCTCGGTGTGTGCGTGTGGCAGAAAGAGATCAAGGACGACAAGGCTCTGATTCTCGGGGTCATCGTGTACAGCGACAGCACTCAGGCGTCGCGCAACGGGCGGCGGAATGCGTGGCCTGTTCTGATATCGCTTATTAACATTCCGGAAGAATTGAGGTGGTTTGAGCCGGGCCACACTCTTGCGGCAGTGTTGCCATTCTGTCCGGAATGGGCTAGTCCGACAGAGAAGGCCCGTGTTTTCCAGGAGGCGCTGAAGATCATCCTAGGGCCCCTGATGCGGGAAACCGCAAGGTACGTTTGGCGGCATGTGTGTTGGTTCTTCACGCGGTAAACGCGTTGCTTGTGACGTACCGATGGATCCGTTACCTATTCGAAATCCCTTTCTGTATCCAGTGCTCCTGTGAGGTACTTTTATGTGACAGACGCCACCGGCAATGTGGTCAAGGCGGTACCTTGCCTCTATGGGTACCCTGGTGACTATCCAGAGAACAGTAGGGCCTCAGCCACGCTGCAGACGGGCACTCATCGCCCCTGCGCTAACTGCTATGCAGAAGTGGGAGAGCTGAAACGGCTGACTGCTAAAATAGATCCACGCACACCTGAGCGGCAGAAGGACATTGTGCGACAGTTTTTTGCGTTCGCCAAAAAGGAGGACGCCCGGAAGTACATGAGCCAGTGGTCAACCCATCCGATAGAGGTATGTTGCAGTTTGCCATTGTGCCGTGGAAACATTCGTTCGACTGGTGGCGACACTGGACATATAGGGTTGTGACGTGCTTCCTTCTGTGCGCAGTGCGTGCTGGCGCGGTGGAACTTTGGGAACACCACCTGGGGGAACGTCTACCTCGCATGTTTGGCTGACATTTTACACGTGCTGGACTCTGGTGTCTTCGTACACATGATGGAAGAATACCTTTCCCCTTTGGGGAAAGTCGAGATCCGCATCCTGGAGAGGTGAGCCGTGTAGATCATCAGTGCGGTGTTTTGGGGTGGTCAGGGCTTTGTCAGTTCCTTGGAACGGGTTTTATGGCTTGGCCGAGATGCGTAACTGGCTCGTTGGCCCCTATTGCGTGGCAGGCGGAAGAAGGAGTTCAAAAGCGATACTCCAAGTGTGCTGCTGCGGATTCCTGGGGGATCATCATTCTTCCTTTCTGGTGCCCACTATGCGGCGTTCGAACATCGTGCCATGATGCAAATCATGCCGATCCTCATTGCGGATTCTAGTGCCTTGAAGAAGGGCGAGGCGGGAGAGTTGAGGGCGCTGCAGGTTAGAGCATTCCGTTATTACGCCCTGTTCTACAAGGCGTTTTTGGGAGTGGCGGCGCACACCCGTGCCACGCTGAAAGAGGCCAAGCAACGTGCTGTTGCGTAAGTACGGTGGTTGGAGACGTGTGTTGATTGCAATCCTTGTGCACCCTTAACCCTGTGCTTTGCAGTCTGCTGATAGAACCTCTGAGCAACACAACTGTATGCTATGCAGGCTGATGGAGCTACTGCCCAAAGCTTTCCCGGACCAGGCGTCAAAGTGGGAAATTCCCAAGATCCACATGATCAAGCATCTTCTCGAGAACGTGGAAGCAAGGGGGATGCCACACCACTACAGCACGGAGATGTGGGAGCGCACTCACAAGGGGACAGTGAAGGGTCCCGTGAGGGGGAGCAACTGGGCTGACATTCCGAGGAGAATTGTGGATGAGGAGATGCAGCGGGAGATTTACAGAGAAGTGGCGGCCGATGCGGGAGGAGGTCGGCAGTACGTGTCAGCGCTGCGTGTGGTGAGTGTTTGGGTGCAAGCAAGACTAGGGGTGGTGCGCTGGGCGACTCACGCCCTGTACCAAGTGCGTGTTTGCTATGCACTCTCATTCAGTGCATGCTGTGTCGCCGGTGGTTGTGTGCGGCAGGCCGTGGAAGAGATGGAGCCAGTGCTAACGAAGAAGTTCAGGGTCATGCGCCTCGGAGGCACCGCGGACAAGGTGTTTGCCGAGTACGCAGCGGTATTTGGGGATCAGATGGCGGGCCTACCAGGTCAGCTGCGGGAGATGCAGTTGAACCCTGGCAGTGTGCAGGTAATTGTTTTTTGTGGTGCGCGGATTGTCGGTTTTTGGTGCGCGGAACGAGTGACATTGCCTGACCTCTTTGATTTGTGCGTGGTGCTTGCCTTATTGCAGACACACACAGCAGTGGCCATACCACGTACGCAGGGTGGGGTGCTTGTGGCGAAGGGGACGTTCGTCAAGGCGTCCCCGCGAGAGAACCTGTTCTCAGATGTGGCACTCCTGGCTCCTGAAGGCGGGGATTGGTTTGCTAGATGCCTATGTATTTTCAAGGCGTTGAACGCGGAGGGCAAGTGGACTGGGTGTGCCTACGTGAGGTACTACGAAGCAGCAGGCCAGTGTCCCATCACAACGTGCACCCAGTTGCATCCAGCTCGAGAGAGTGTCCGGTTCGCAGTGGTGTTGCTGAAGAGCCTGCAGAGGGTTGTGCACGTATGCCCTTCGTACAGCAACCCTCGTCTGCTGCTGGTTAACAAGTTTCTACTCTGCGAGTAATTGGAGTTGGGCTGTGTGTTTGGAACTGAGGGAAGGTGGTTTTGTTACACTCCTAGAAGGGGTGGAATTGTGGGATTGTGGCATTTAGGGGTGCATGGGAACCTGGGTAAGGGAAGGAGAGTGCGCAACAGAATAGTACGCAGGTCTCATGCTTTGATTTGGGGGGCTTGTGTGGTGGGAATGTGGGATTTTGAAAATGCACCGTCATACTGGAATTTTGGCGGCCGGTGTGTGGATTGAGGCAATGCTTGTAACGGATTTGGTTATTACGGTTGTTGGTTCAGGGCACTGGTGTGCGGATTTGGGTTTTGTGGCTGAAATGCAGGGACAATCTTGTTACGGAATCCAATTGGATATGTGGCTGGGGCTAATTGGTTCGATGTTCGGATTTCTAGTGCGTGTGACTGGAGGGTGCGCATTTGTGTGACGTGTACGACATCAGAGGTTGACAGGTTGGGCCAATGGGAACTGCGCAATTGTGTACCTGGCATGTAGTGGACAGTGTTCGGTTGGAGAGCAATTCAGTGGTTGCTGCACATGTGGAGCGCCT